GGGCCTCTTAAAGAAAGTCCAATTTCTGAGTTATTAATTTGAATAAACTTTTAATTCAAAAGTGAACATATGCAGAAGGCTTCTAGTAATGATAATGAGGTTCATGATGTCCATTAAGAAACTTCTAGTAAGAGCTGAGTCAAGAATCGTAATTACTGTGACTTAGGGCACACACACAGCAAAATGAGTCCATGTCCCTTGCCTTTGCTTATCAGCTGTCTGATGTGGAGATGGGCAGCTGGAGAAATGACAAATCAATCAGCTCACAGATGTACAGAGGGAACTGTCATCATCTCAGTCTACACACATTGTTCAGTCATGCCAGCCTTTGCTCCTATCACTGAAATTCGATTTCTGATGAATAACAGTCATTGAGTAAGAGGCAGACCAGTCAAGAGGGGTAGAGTGGCAGGGAGAGAGGGGCAGTCGGGGAGAACTGCCCTGCTAGGGAGTAGCCCTCCCTAACCCCAGAGACGACTCCTGACATCTTATTGTGATCCATAACATCTAACCCTCTGGCTCTTCACAATAGACTGCAGCTGCAAAGTTAGGAAGGAAATACGAGCCATCAGACCAATTACACGCTTTAGCACTAAACCTTTGCTAAGGCTTCATTCACATTATAGCCGGACAACTACTACAAAGGTGGTGTTTGTGAGGCACTGTGGACTAAACCCTAGCAGTGTTATTTACATAGCAGGCACTCAAATGTTTGTTGAAAAAAAAGGTCCCACACATAAAGACCAGGCAAGGCAAGGCCCTGCTATCCGCCAGATGGTCTCAATACAAGCTGCTGCCCGGATCTCTAGTCCCTCATCCAGAATTACGTCAAAGCCATTTATCACCTGGGATAAAATCATGATGAAATACCAGTCCTAGCTGACAACAGTTGGTGAGATCTCTCAGATGTCACACAGTTGTGTAATGAGCCTGGCTAACCAGAGCTCCTAGGAAAGATGCCATTTTCCTTTCCTGTGTAGTAAGTGCCTTATATAGAAAAGAATCTGAGCTGGGGGTGGTAGAGGATGCCTGTAATCCCAGTGGCTCTGGAGGCTGAGATGGGAGGACCTTGAGTTCAATGGCAAGGTGCTAAGCAACTTAGCGAGACCCTGTCTCTAAATAAAATACAAAATAGGGATGGGGATGTGGCTCAGTGGTTGAGTGCCCTTGAGTTTAATCTCTGATTTCCCCCTCCCCACCTAAAAAAAGAAAAGAATCTGAATTCCTATTTGGAGTCATTGTGTACTTCTCTTCCTTCTCCATGATACAGCAGAACCTACTCTACTCTGGAGACGTAGGACAGGCTCCAACTCCCACTGATGAGGTTTCCCAGCTATGATTCAGCAAAGTAGCCTGACTTCTCCAGGGTTATTCTCGGCCCCGCTCTTTATAAGTCAAAGTTTCTTTAACTGTTTCTCAACCTTTGTATTCTTTGCTTCATCAGTTTAGGTATCATGACTCTACTCTTGAATGATTTCTGTAAAATACAAGTGTAATGGAACTAGGCCTAATTTCAATTCAAATGTGTACAGACCAACAGTTCCACAATTACAACAAAACTTGACTGAATCACTGCTCCAGACTCCCCCACCACAGAATACCCTACCTCTCGTTCCAACAGGCATAGAGGCAGTTATGAAAGAAACGTGTAAGAATTTAGAGGGATGAATGGAAGTAAAGCAGGTCAGAACAGACACATGGAGAAAACTTCCAACTCATTGTACCATTAAGCAACGTTTCTCTCCTAAGTTTGGAATTACAGGACAGTGGTAAAGACCACGTACTTCATCATCAAAACATGAAATTCAGATCCCAGTTCTGCTCCTCACTGATTGCATGATTTTGGGCAAATTATTTAATTTTTGAACTTCCATTTCTTTTTCTGCAAAGTGTACCTAGTGACGTTTATTACAGAACCATTGATGGGATTAAATGGGGTAACGAATACTGAGTGCTGTACTGACCCTAAGACCCTAAGAAATATTTAATAAATAGTAGTATTAAAAATATCTTCCCCAAGCCTATCTAATTTCAATCAACTTACTCTTTCACACTGTTTTGAATTTATACCAATAAGAAATTCATTTAATCCTAAAAAGAAGCCTTTAAAAGAAACAAAAACATCTTTTCCAAGGCTGAGAGGGCAGTTTGATCTTTCTTATGCTCGTTTAAATGAGTTTAATCAGGTTGCTTTCCTCCTGTCTGGTAGCTGTGCGCACCTGCACTGAGTGAATGGAATAGTAGCTGAAAGGCAAGAAAAGTGAAGACACATGGAACTTCTAACTTTGGGATTTATCATGGACTGGAAGAGAATGGTCTTAAGGCCAAAGGGAAAAACACACCTTGCATGGGGGCTTTAGAGGAAGCAGCTGGGGAACAGTATGTCATAGTAATAAGGCTGTCAGAGAAACCTTGGCCTGCTTCAAAATTTTGGCTGGGCCAATCCTTCACCTACAAAAGGGAAAGATGTCTCAGTGCTTAAGTAAGATCTCTTGGTGCAAAGATCAATGGCACCAGAAGTTAAATGGTTTCCCATGGGACCTGGGATGCTCATGGCCATCACGGTGCTTTGCTCCTAGTAAAATGCCCTGTAGGCTAAGAAATAAAGTGACTTTCACCCACTTTCAGAGTTTACATGCCCTCCCTTCCTTAGGAAAGGCTTGTCCAACAAAATCCAAGCAAACCATAATTAATGTCCATATTTAGAGCCTCACATTCCCATTTGCTCTTAATGATAACCGTCCTTTACCAGCAGTGTATGAGCAGCCTTCCCAGATGTGGACGTATCTCACAGTAAGAATAACCACGATTTCCAGAGAGACTTGCATAACTCTCAAGGTTTACCTTACCATTCCTCTATCGTGTGAAGATTCTTTCTTTATTTTTTTTAAATTGGCACATAGTATTTGTATATATCTGTGGAATACTGAGATGATAATTTGATATGTATATTTGTAATGTGTAATTATCAAATAAGGAAGTTAGCATTTTTGTTTCTTCAAACATTTATTGTTTCTGTATTTTGAAGGATTCTGAAATCTTCCAGTTATTCTGAAATATGTCATAAATTATGGAAGACAAAGGTTACTGCACAGTGCTAGAGAACACGGGCACTAATTCCTCCTATCTAACTGTAACTTGGTACCCACTGTCTAACCTCTCTCCATCCTTCCTCCCTACCCTTCACAGTCTCCAGGGACCAGTGTTGCACTCTGGTCTTCTTTAAGACCCACATTTTTAGCTTCCTTAAATGAGTGAGAACATGTGATGCTTGGTTTTCTGTGTCTGGCTTATTCACTTAACAAGATCTCCTCCAGTTCCATCAAAATGAACAAATCAGACCATTCTAACTCCACAACAAATGAATACTTCTCATTTGCTGTCCCTCTGAATCAGGTATTTACTAAATAGTTTCTACATATAGGAAATTGCAAGGAGATGCTAATTACAGAAGAAGACACAAATCTTGATCCCTACTTCCAGTGAATTTACAATCTAAGTAGAAAAACAAGATACAAAGACATGAAAATATAAGCAATTATAAAATATTCACATTAATGTTCCAAACATCCTTCAAAGAGCTGTAACAAAAAGATACATGAATGACTAGCAAACTGATTTTATGGTGGGGGTTTAAAAGATTAAGAAATGACTATCTGTTGGGGGTAGTCTCTCCCACTGGGAGAGACTTCGAACTGAATTTTTAAGGATGAGTAGAATGGATGGGTGTAGGGTATTATGCAATTACATCCTCAACATACTACACTTGTGTTTTTCCTGACCGAACATCCTTTCAAACAGACTTAACATCCCCAAGTTTGCCTTAAAGGTGCAATGTACTATGCACAGACGCATCCTTGACAAGGAAGAAAGGAAACATGCTTCCTTTTCTTCCATGAAAGGCCGAGCTTCAGAGATGGATGGAACTGTAAAAGGAAAAGAGAGGTGCAAGGGTCCTATCCAATATGGAGTTTGCACTATTTTAAGATATTCTAATTATCCTTACAAATTATGTAAAGGATTCAACACTCTCAGAAATACCTTTCATACACACCAACACTAAAACTACACAGTGGATGAAGTGGGAAAACCATGTTTTCAGATGTGCCACGTTTCACTTTGGAAATGGAGCACGGAATGACACTTTTGAGGACCAACATTTACTGTTTTGCTATCAAAAAAAAAAAAAAAAAAGCTTTGTGTAAAAAGCCCATGAATGTTGTAAGAAAACAACTGTCATAATCGGAATCCTGAAGCAGACCATAGTGAAATATGTTCACTTCCTTAGTCATTCAGAGCAGCCCCAATACAATGTTAGTCTTGGAAATAGACTCTGAAGATATAAGTCAGGATTTTACATGGATTTTAGTGCATTGCATGTAGGATCACAGGACAAATAACATGCAACATTTCAGGGACTACACATTAATTGAGAAAAAAAAATTTCAAATAGTATTTACTAGAATTCTCCCTCCGAGGAGTGTGAGAGAGAGACACAGCTGATGGAAACGTGAAGAAGTTTGTTTCCTATCTGCAAGTCATACAGCTGTCGACTTTTCAGTTCTGGTGTGACAATGACTCACACTGGTGAGCTCTCATGCAGCGGGCAGCCTCCACAGAGGACTTGAGCTGTATGTAAGATTGAGGCTGCAGGAGGACTCCCATGGGAAGTCCACTTTTCAGGATCCCGTTCACCCTCATCACAGGTGTGAGAGACATTTTACCATATTTCTTTGCACATAACAACTCTTGAACAAAAGCAGGGGGAACCTACCTGACCCGTTCTGGACTGGCTCCATCTCCCAGGTAGCTTTGATGCTAAAGCCTGGTGCATGCTAGGGGGTTGCATCCAAGCGCAAGAAGGAGCCAGTAACAGAAACGGACGTCCTAGAGTCTGTAATAAGAAGAAAGAGTAAACTTCTGAGTAACAGTATCCTAAATGAGCACTTCAGACTGGCTGCTGAGGGCCCGTGGAACACAACAGGAATCAGGTACTTTACCTTGGTAGATCTACTTTTAAAACATGAGCTCCAGAACTCTCAGCTCTTCTTATAATTCAAGGCTTGAGATACTGGCACAAGTTCAGTTCAAAAGCTGGCAGAAAGCACCTTTCAAAGGCTTTGTGAATATACTTTGCTGGTAATGATTTTTAGAAAGGAGGAAAAACAAAAAACAAAAAAAAAAAAAAGAGGAGAGGAATCCTCTTTACCATTCTTTTATCTGTTTGCATGGAACAGCATGCCTATCCCATATATCACAGCCACTTGCACTGACTGAGCCAATGTCCCACTGCAGTGCCTCGGGAATCTGCAGTGTCACTCCTCTTCTGCTCGTTCTCTGCAAAGTGAAGTCATAGGGATGGATCAGCCAACCTGACTTCTCACTACCCTGCCCAGAATCCTTTGTGAGCTGAAATGAGTCATCGCTCCAAGAAAAGCTACAGCCTCCGTGTGTGTCTGGGCTAGCTCCTTTGTCTGTGCAATGCAGAGACTCTAGGTCAGGGACAGAGCCCAGGCACAGGGCTGCATGGGGCACATGCTTCTCTCCAAGGGGCCCTGGTGCCTCACATGCATTAGCACCAATTCATATTTTGTTAATCATCAAAACATTAAAAAGGGCACATACCTCCCGATACTTGAAGAAAGAACACACACATTAAAATTGATCTGGCATCTAATATACTCACCAGTTCATAATTATACACCTGACACATTTTCCTATCTATTTTTTTAAGGCTGGCTTCTCATTGTGATGAAGGACGACTCTCCATCGTGTGTGTAACAGGCGGTTCTACAGTATACTCACTGGATCAAAGTTTAGCTGCAGCGAGCTATCTGTCACAAATTCCAGTTGCCGAGCAAGTCTTTGCAAGCCCGGGTCTCATCATTCCCGACACATCCCCGTCAGGCTTGCAGCCTGGGCAGCCAGTGCAGCTCTGCTGCTGCCTGCTGATAAAGCCAGCGTTGGGAATGAGGTCACTATGTCAGGAACTCGCTCTCAGCGTGAGGTTCTCTGAGCTTACAACACAACTGGTAGGAGTCATAGGATTTTTTTGTCACTGCTTCATGTGCCTTTTCTTTCTTTCTATTTTTTAATTTCGATGTCTAAGATCAGTAAGGCAAAAAAAAATCAATTATATATCTGCATCAAAATGTCCTTTTCATGATATCATCTGTACCACCCACAATGAATAACTCATGCACATATGGGTACATGTTGTTTTCACACACACGTACACACACTCAAGACACATACACAAAAGGACCCCACTTCAGCAGAAACATCGACAAAGCATTTGGTCTTTTATTTACAGAACAAGAAAGGACATGTCAACATCTCAAGAGGAAAGAGGGGCGGGGCTTGAGAGTGACAGGACAGAATGACAAGAGTATCAGAAAAAAATAGAGTCACAGTGGAAAAGAATAATTAAATGGAAAAAATGAATTCTACTGTATTAGTAGTTCTAATTGCCCAAACTCTTCCAAACCAAAAGTAATTCCCAAACAAGCACCCCTCACTATCTCAACTCGGGAAACATACACCCGCCCATTATCCCATACTCAGAGACTTACTAGATTTGGGCAGGAGAAGCCATGATGAGCGCAAAGTGGAGATGAAACCTAAAACAGGAAGCACCAGAGCACAAGGAACCATTAGCCAGGCTCTCCCAGATCTCAGAGCTGGAAGGGTCCTGACTGGGTCCCCAAGCTCAAATCCCACCAGAATCAGAACCTGTCTTAATTCCTGGGATTCAACCTGTTCTCAAACATCTCCTTCCACAGATTCAGACCCCATCACAAGTCACACATACACTCTGGTGAGCCCAAATCGGCCTCTCCCATCACCCCCACACAATGATTCCCATTCTGCCCTCAGGGAGCTGTTAACTCATCCCTCTTCAGTCTGTTAACTCATCCCTTCTCAGTTCATTAACTTATCCACTAGCTACAAAAAGCAATCTGGTCTTCACCTTCCAGACCATCTCTTCTCTCATCACCTACACTTTTGGAAGCCTAGTAAGCATGCAGCCTATATTTTCATTTATTGGTGAACAATACATGGGATCAGAACATTGTTAGCACCTCTTCAGTGCCTCCACCTTCCAATGAGCTGCCCTTGTGGATTCCCTCTTTACTGGCAGTCAATTTCCCTCTTACAAGGCTGTGGACACCGGCTCTGTTCTCCACATGGCACTATCCCCTCCCTTGTTCTGGACTCTGTGTAGTCGTAAGACTGTGGTAGGTTTTTGGTTATTATGTCTCACTGTCCATACCACACTAGCTGTTAAATCAGGCCTCCTTTAAGTACTTTTTAAAAACCTCATCAATGATACTTTTCTGCTTTATGATAAATAGTTTGGTCTTAATTTCGCCCTCCAATGTTCACTTGATGTGCCGCAGGCTCTGACCTATGCTGTGGTCTTAGCCTGTGTCCCACACCAGGGCCCCCGACCAAAGTGACTTGAAGTGACTCTACTAAGCTCAATCCACCCAAATCCACACAATTCAGGCCATTTCTGTCAGTCACAGTCTAACCACTGTGAGGTCAAAAATATACCTAAAAAAATTTGCACCTTAAGAATGCAGTGATGTAACTATATGATAAATGTATAAGAAATTAAGATCTAAGTGGAGATATCTTTAGCCCCGGCAACTTAAGACCATCGGCAGGGGGAATCTCTAGGTTATTGTACCACCTATTGACCGAGACCCAAGTTTCTTCTATAATCTGTAACAGTTTAAATAAGTAGATTAAAAACATCCAAATATTGAAAGAAAGAGGATGGAAAAAATTATTTAAAAAATGTACCCAAATTTACTCATCTCTGAACATGCAAGTTTCCATCTCTGTGTGGGCCTACAGTACTTACATACAGATACTTCTAACCCTTAGGAGAACCCTATCAGGCAAGTATGAATATGATTTCCTTCCTCAGAAAGTTAAACAGCTCAGGGTTACACAGCTCCTATGTGTCAGAGGGAGGATTTGAACCAGGAAAGCTACTGCCTCTCCATTATTATAATAACCACAGGAAACCAAAATAGTTATAGAACTATCCCTCAATTTTTAAACTTGACTTGAAGTCAATTGCTTACTTGGCACATGGGGCCAGTGGGGTGAAGGTCACAGCTTGGATCCTTGCATTACCAGGTCCCTGGGTCTAAGACTTCTGACTGACTGCCCCCCAACCTCAGCCAGCAAAGGAGTGTGAACCTCCATGCAAAGGAGTGTGAAGGATCAGTCAAAACAAGAATCACAAACTTTTCTTGCTGTCCTACTAATAGCAAGACAGGTTTTATGATGAATACCCAGTGGCCTTGAATCAAAAGAGACAGGTAAGAAAGGCACTCTGAAGTTTTTGACACCAAGATCTGATAGACAGGGAAGCTTAAGAACTGACTCCAGCCATAATCAGCAACCCTCCTCCTGCCCCCAGCACCTCCTGCTCCTTTTAATAACAGCTTTGGTGTTACGGTAAAGATTTACAAACATCATATAGAATATCCCAGAGGTGATTTGCTCAGTTGATGAGGTGTGGGCAGAGGTTGTGCTTGGCACTCGACTGGTTCCTTGGCAGAAGATTAAATAGTAGCAGCACTTAGTGACATCGTCATGCAGAATCTTAATAAACATTTTGATGACTAATGGGCTAGCACAGTCTTAGAGCTGCTGCACTTGATAAAGCAGAAAGCAATAAATATCCTTAAATCAATTTAAAAATATCTACCGGGTGCCTAATTGCAATGTCCTATAGTGACTTGGGGAATTTAAATATGTGCAAGATAGCGTACATAACGCAAGGCAGGTACATTGGTACTTTTGCATGAACAAATGCCATGGTCTCTACCTTCAAGGAGCTTAAAATGCACTCAAGGAGAAGAGATACTCACACATAACAAGTGCAAAGAATACAAGGCAGTGTCTGTCACAGGGAGGGAACAGGAAACAGGTGCCCCTGAAAATTCAGGAGAAAAGAACCTGGGTTAGAACAATCAGGAATGGCTTCAAGGAAAGGTGAACTTTCACTATAAAGAAAAAAGAAAGGACGTCCCACATGTTAGATCATAGACTCCATGCAGAGGGGGATTTCTGCATGTTTTGTGTTTACAAATGTATTCCCAAAAAGTGCCTAGCACTAAATTAATATATACTGAAAGGAGGAAGGAAGGATGGATGGATAGAAGGAAGGAAGGAAGGAAGGAAGGAAGGAAGGAAGGAAGGAAGGAAGGAAGGAAGGAAGGAAGGAAGGAAGGAAGGAAGGACTGGAGGGAGGAAACATAAACCCAGATGTGGAAGTATTGACAGGAAGAGGTGGAGGATCATAAGACAGTTCTTATACGTGGAAGTAAAGGGAGAGGAAGCATAAAGGGTGGTCCCAGATCAGATTGAGAAAGTCTTTAAAGGATCAGAAAAGGACGCGCCTTATATATGCAATGCATTTCACCTGGCATCTGTTATAGCCACTAGGAGGTTTTCTGCTTAGGAAGCCTCACCCCTCCACGAACCAGAAACAATTACCGCTCAACTCTGGGCAGCTGGCTATGGGAAGGAAGGTTGACAGGTGAGGTGTGGCTTCCTCAGGGACTTCTCTTGCCTCCCCTCACCACCAGAAGTCGGAGATGCCAAGACACTCTCTGCTTTGCAAGACTATATCCGTAGAGAAGAAAAAAAAAATCCTAGTGTGTTACAATATTACACTCACTGTACCCTAGTTCAAATCAACAGACATTTATTAAATACAACACTTAGGAAATGATGTGGTCTTTTTTTTTTTTTTTTTTTTTTTTTTTGCTCAGGTGAATATAAAAACAAACGAGTTCTAGTTCCTGTCCTCAGAGTTTAGCATCAATATCTGAGTCACTCAAAGCAAAGAGGGAAAGAGTGCCACAAGTAGAAGAAAGATGGTTACTTTTGAAAAAGAGATGTCCAAAAAATATGGTGGGAACTGGGAAGCACTTTGGGAAGGGAGAGGCACCCAAAGTGGGCCATGCAGGATGAGTAAGTAAAGGTAGAAAAAAGAGAA